TTTTATTTTAGTTAGTTTATAATTACCAAGGCATACATTTTTCGTATTTATACTATATAATGTTATGTATTTACATGTATATTGTATACCATAAAGATGCAATGTAACGTAATACTATTTAGATAAGAAACAAAGTATATTTATGATTCTTGTATTATTCCATGGCCAATGATTCATTGCTTGATAAAAAATTAGGTGTGGGGACCCTTCGCATATTCTGTCAGTAACCCGCAACTACCACGGTATAAGTTCACTGAAGAGATCCCACATAATACTTCTGTATATAAGAACTACCTTCGAGATAAAAAAAAGGTATTTATTTTTATAATGGAACGCACTCATTATACTGACACAAACTCCGATGATGATAATGAACAATGATAACTTTTTTACTTCCAATATTTCAAATATTATGACGTTCAGTGCGTGGGTGCGAACGGTCAAAAAACATATTGTACCTACCTATAATACTCGTATTATTGTGTATGAAGACATGTGGGCGGTGAAATCGGCTCGCCACGGCGACTGGTGAACTTGTATGCAGGTATTGTGTCCGTCGGTATTTCAACGAAAATTATACTATCAAATTTTCGTATCATTTGCATACCAGGCGACTGAATGAAAAAATACCACACTATAGATAGGTATGTATACTCAAAAAGCGGCCATTTTATATTTAAAATTGAATAAATAAATAACAGAGACGAAAGTTTTACGCTTGTCCAGTATCTACGAGTAATCATAAAAGATAAAAGTATAAATATATTATAAGATTTAGACAACATTATAATATATAATACTATGTATATAATATAACATTGTCACTGATTATAAATTATTCGTATTATAATACTCGCTATAATAGCGACGCTATTGCACTATTCGATCTTTTTATATAACAATGCAAATTACAAACACTATCGTAGGTATGTCGTCGAATACTTTTACTTTTTAAAGACGTCGCCACTAAAGATATTTATTATTCATATATAAAATTAAAATTCTGTTAAAATAATGCAAATATTCCTTTTCACACGAATATCATAAACTGTATTAGCGATTGTATAGTACCATTATTAGTATCACTAGACCGGATAGGATGGTCGGAAAAATTAGGTCTGTTCACGTGGCCCGTGAAAAATGCAATTTAATTCTCCGCGTTACATAAATACCTAATGTTCATTACGCGATTACACAGTTATATACAATAATCTATAAGGTATCTTACGACTTCCAATGTCATTATGTTCGGTTTGCAGAGAAAATATTTTCCATTCTCTGGCTTAGAATATAAATATTCTGGTAATCCTCAAATACTTAATTCCTTGGCGCCAAAAACATAGCATATAATCTTCCGGCCCTACTTCCGCTCTGTCTACCTATAAACATTGCAGCCAACTGCGAATTTAGTATTGAGTGAGGTGTGCGACTAATATAATAAAATAGCCTAAAACTAATTATAAATTATAATAACTAGGAGTATGTAAATGTATTTACCAATACAACACAGTTCAATGGATTTACACTTTATCGATTTATACATTTCAATATAATATGTTTAATATTTTTCAAGTGGCCGTTTGAGTTTCAGGCTGACGTGTAAGACAGTGGGTAGTTAACACTGTCTTAGGTTTTGTGTATTAGCTTCTGTACAACTATTTATACAGAGCATGGCGCCACTGGTGGTTATTAAATGTATGTTAATTTATTTATACACGTATGGCATAGTCCATACAAACAAACTGTTTACTACTACGTATATTATACACAAATATTGATTAAAAGAGAGCATTCAGCATAATATATAATTTATACAAGTCTTTTACCTAACATATACCAAGCTAAATGAAATATTTCTATGAATTTGTTTTTTTCTAATATAAGTCATGAAAAAAAACTTCACGATGTAAGTATATAATATAATGTACCTATATTATGTACACGGTTGACGTCATGAAAGACTAATAGCATTCTGACAACTTATTATTTTAACTCGGAAACCAGTAGAGCACCCCACACATAAAATCAACGTCAATTGCGCAGTTTTAAAATGACTAACTGGCGTGTTTCTCTATTTGCTTTCAGATATTATTATAATATTTAAATATCTGAACAGTGAAAATAAACTATGCATCAAACAAATATAAGTAAGATATAAAAATAATAATATAAGATCTATTTGTATCTATATAGTTTATCTATACGATGGTTATAAATTTAATTGATAAAAAATTAATAACCGATACCTATTAAAGCTACTTTAGTAAAAAGTATTGCGAAAGTGGCCGAATAGATTTCAATCGGTATCAATATTTTGTAAATCTAAAAAAAAGGGTAAAATTGCTTTTAAAACTAATTCAGATTTTACAGTCGAATTTAAATCTAAGTCGTACGTGACATTGGTTGTAAATAGAATGAATAGGAGTAGGTAACTACTATTACATGTTAGGTAGGTACATTGGGAGCGGAGAGTCGCGTTTCGCGTGATCCTACAAACCCGGTTTTCTCTTATTGATTTTAAACGTTCGTGGTGAACCACATTGGAACGAGTAATACTACGGTGACTGCGGTTTACGATCAATTGGAGCACGTAAAAATGTATTATTTTTTATTGATTTAAAATGTGTTCTTATATTTTATTGATAACTTGGATAATAAACTGAAAACGTGGGTGAACCAAAGGCCTAAACCAGTTACACCACAAACAAAAATATATAAAAATTAAATTTTTACGAGATTAGTAAACGCGATTTAACTGAAGCACTATTATTATACGAGTATATTTATATTATAATATGTACATTTTTTTAACGATTCCATTCAAACAGAAAAACCGTTTCCGAAATGTCCACTTTATGTCTCCGTAACAACGTAACACTCTTTATAATAGGCCTTACGTTTAGAAAACACAACTGTTTGAAATGATACCAATTACAATACTACGATAATAATGGGCTCCAACGTGACAAGTAACTTGAGCTGTATATTAGAAGATACCGCCGTATAGTATACGTTTTTAGAAATTATATTTTTTTCACGCCTTTATTATATTATATTATATTATACTAACGACGAAATGAGAATACGACACGCGATTCCTATATCAGAAAAATAGAAAGAAAGTTGCTAACCTATACATATCGATCGCGAAAAACGTGCACGTGGAGTACGTGACGATAATATAGTAAAGGTTTTTATTTTTTCGTTAATTTTATAAGCTTCCTGTTCAGTCTATTATAATATTATTATAAAGGTATGTTGCCGTCATAATATCTCTGGAAGGTGCAAGTACAGAAGGTGTATCAAGTAAACGTTTTTCATACACATAGTAAGTAGTTCTCAACGTAGGATATCGACTAACCGAATTCCAACTTACATATTTAAAAAAAATATATCTTCAATATATTGTATACCTTATAAAGTTATAAAGCAGAAAAAATTCTCCAATTTAAACTTTGAGAGTGGTGCTTGGTACAAAATWGGATATATTTGACACTTGAGGGGGAAAATATTAAAATTCATATTATACTTTTCTAAATGATGGGAGGAGAGGGTAAGAAAACCCAGGAACTTTTACGCAACACCTGTTTTMAACAAAATTGTTTTTCTCTCTTTGTTGTTACTCATAGATGGATAAAATTAGAGACTGGCTATTTTTTATAAATATTTGTGTTATTAGCATGTTGTCGACATTAAAATATTTTCAATATATTCACTCTTTTTGTGTTATTTATAGGTATTTTAAATTTGTTATTCCTAAAAGTCTTGTTTTTAATTTATGGGTGATGCAATTATTGTTTCCAGGTAAAATAAAATTGAAAATTGAACACATTATCCTTTATAAAACTTTTTTCACAAGATATATTATATGTATATATATAAAAAAAAAAAACAAGTGCAAATCCACAAATATTGTACTTCTATGACAAAATAAGTTTTTATACCACCTGCATCACAAAGAAAATCGTCGTGTCGACAACGAATCGATTATAATAAAGGGAAGGTAACTTAACCTTTTACTATTCAAATTCATCTTAAAGAATCATGAAAATGTMATTTGTTTCTTCGATGATTATTTGGAATATTTTCTATTTAAGTACATATTTTATACCTTTTATAAATTATATTATATATTATAGTATGTTGTCAACCATGTTTAGAAAATCTAATCACGTGACATAAATATAAATATAATATTAATGTCGGGTTATATAAACAAACACCAAATGTTTAAAATGAATCAATAAAATTAAATAATGGCCCCTTTCTATGATTTAGAGGCCCATGATTGGTTCATTTAATTTTAGAGAAATGTTAAATTAATCAAGTTTTCATCCAACCCAACATGAGTGTTATTTAGGAATTTTTTCAATTCGTATAGTACTCATATATAGTGATAATTATCTATAGATCAGTTTTAAATAGATCACGTATATACTAGATCGTCTAGATCTGCAGCGTAAGTAAATTACTTTTTTGTCGGACATAGGTATAGAATTGGGTAGGGTGCGGTTTCAGCGGTGTGTCCTGAATACTGAGGCGTTTATCTTGATCGAAACAAAATGCGCATTGATTTGTTTTTTTATTTACCTACTTTGAATGATAATTATTTAACTACTCAACTACATTTTTTTTATAGATAATATATTATATATTTCGAAAAAATTAGGATTTTATTCAACAAAAAATACACACTATAATATATGTGAAAATACCTAAAATATGTAAAATTATGCAAAACGTAAAATATGTTCATGTATGTTCATTTTTGTAGCAGTAATGTTAAGCAATTTTTGAATTTAATCGATATAAATATTATGATAAATCTATAACTTCTATAGAATGTATAGTTAACAAAAAAATAAATACACCACGCGAATACATGCGTGACCTGCAGAGCACTGGGTAAATATAATTTTAATATGATAAAATGTAATAGGTAGTGTACCTAATGTGTACAACTTATAAGTTCTATAGTAACATTAAATCGATTGGCTTACCAGTACTGGTAAATGGTCGACAAGGTAGCACAWAAGCAGTATGGCCACCACGTAGCCAATGCGGACGTCCTGGACCAGTGACACGCGTTTGGCCAAGCACGGGGCACGGCTGTTGGTGGACGTAACAGACACGGACGCCGCGGTTGACGGCAATTGATACCGGGAACCCAAACCACCRCCGCCGCCACCGTACCGGTACGGTCTGATGGTGGACGCGGCGAAGCTGTCCCGATCGCTGCTCGTCAGCAACGTACCAGAGTCGATGAGCCGCTTTGTTTCGTCCATCCTGCGGAGCGTGTCGTCCTCTGCAACGGCGCCGTTCTGGTGGTGCATCAATGCCCTGGGCGCGCCGTTGAGGAACGTGACCGGCGGGGCGTTACCGGCCGACGGCAACCGGAGCAGATCGTTAACCAGCGCACAATCGGTTCGGTGGTAACCACCGGTGCCCGTGGCGGTGGCCGATGTGGTGCATGTCACCGTGGTGCGGTCGCTGCAATCGCTGACGCTGTGCCGTATACCACCTCTACTGCAACTGGACACGGTGGATATTTCGGACATGCACGACGACAGGTCAGACGACGAGTTTACCAGCAGTGGGTTGGGACCCTTCCGGTGGCCAGCGCAACCAAAAGCGGCGGACGCAGCGGCCACAGCGGCCAGGGACGCGTGTAGCACCAACGAAAACACAGCGTACCGGCGGTCGGAAGGTGGAGCACACGGGTCCGTCTGGGCAATAAGTGCGGCGGCGCCCACGCACGCGCTCACCACCGACAGGCTGGCCAAGTGGTAGAGCAATAGTGGCCGGCCGCCCGCGGCCACGGTACGCTTTTTGCGCCTCAGACCGGCCATCAGGGCCAGCGACGCTAGCGTGCCGGCTTGCATCGTGTGCGCGGCCGTCCACAGCCACTGCACCGCGCTGCACAACGCTGGCTCATCGGGCCGAAACAGTGACAGTGCTGATCCCGCGGTGCCGGCCGCCTGTTTCGCGATAGCCTCAGCYAGTAGCGCTATGAGAAGTGGATCCGACGGACGCCACTGGCCCCGGCCGAACCACAGCACCAGTATCGCCCAGCATAGCCATACTATGGACAGGGGACCGCCGATTCCCGTCGTCAACCACACCAAAGCCTCTGAATGCATCATTCATTTTTCTGAAAATTTCAAATATTATACAGTTATTATAAGATGCAATTATATTATTATAATGTTTACAGTTTATAATGTTGTGTTATGTATAATTTCATAATTGTTGAGCTATCTTAGTAGTATACTAAAACCTAATAAAAAAAATAAATATATCTACAGCCGTTTCTTTTATCATTTCACTCCTCTGTTATCAAAATATATTAAGCAGGTGTCAAATTTATTTCAACTTTTGCAGAAATTAACCCTTTATATCATCTTCACGTCTACGTACAAATAGTAAAATTTAGCTTTWATTACAGTATTATATTATATTATATAATGTACCTATGGTATGGTAATATAATATTAAAAATGATTTTTTATTATGTTTTTAATACAGCTATAATGAACTTTTAATTATTAACACAATATGATATTTAGTTTTTAATCTATAAAAACACAAATTTAAAACTAATAATTTGCAAGTAGATTAATGCTTCAGTTAATTTATAAACTAACAGTATGTAGCCATATGTATAAGTACATATTGTTGAATACAACTTTATTGCATCAACATTTAAATAATTTTCAGTGGAGAATAAATATGATAGCTTAATTACAATTGTATAATAAAGTACACCTAAGAAGTATATTATATAATATACCTATGTGTGGGTTACCTACCCATTACTATTTTTTATTGATAAATCATAATAATATTATCAAATACACATTACAAACTAGATTGCACAGTATTCGACCTATCAATTTTTCATTCAAACAAAAATATTACTGTATACACGTTATCCTATTCTCGTATGGTATCTACACAAAATTTTGAATTTATTTTTACAATTTAATAACAAATAAATTACTAAATAATTGCTACACATAATTCGGTTAAACAATAGTGCATTATTAACTGAATAAATGTTTTGATTTTCAACTTAAAATCTAAATTAAATATAATTTTTTTTCTTATTTATAATTTGGTATCAAGTTGTTGAAAAAAAAAACAATATTTTAGTTTGATATTGTGAATATAGTGAAAAATTTCATGTACGCATTAAATTGATGGTCGAAGACTATGCAAGTTAGGTTCGACATTTTAAGAAAATTGTGTCAAAAAAAAAAATGTTTACACGAAATATAATTATTATATTATTTGTATTAGATACACCTATTATGTAATTTATGTAAAAAAAAATTAATTATTTCAATTATCTTGTTAAATATAAAGACTTTTGGTTAACTAATCGATCTTGCCCCGTGTTCCCATATACAGTAAAATGAACATGTTTAGTATTGTCCAATGAAGGTGTCGCGATTACTGCAGCTGTCAAAAATGAAAATTGGCTGTGAGGAGCCTGTTCTGTACACTTAAATATATACACTCGTCATACTCGCTGCRATGCTGTATTGCATATWATATAAATAAATTGAGAGGCTTGTATTACACARGGTATATAATTTTCTATTTTAAATTTATCGCACACAGACGCACAACCAAAATCCGAAATGTACCTATTCATAAAATGAAAGTACACCTCTGATTTATGTGAACACGTTTTAGATTTTGTAGAATGACTGTGTCGTTTTCGCCAAATTGACATTTTATAAAAACCTTATACAATAGACAGTTTGAAATATTATTGCGCAACGTATTACTTTTTTTCCGTGTGGTTTTYAGGTAGAAATAAATTGTACTATATAATAAATACCATTTTAACTTTAAATAATTATAAATCGACAGTAAGTATAAATAAATAAATGGCTGTATATGATAATCATTTCACACATTAAATGCTAATTTATATAATTCGTTATTCGTACTATTTACTTCAAATGATATTCTAATATTGATATGATCATTCCAGTATGAAAAAGCATATTATACATAAATTAAATAAAAACGTTGCAACATTAACAAAATTAAATTATTAGAATTTGTTTAACTGTCTATGTACGGATAGTTAAGTAACAAAACTTAGTCTTAATTATTTTGTTTGTAAGTATTAAATTAGTATTATCCGTTTATGTATCTTTTGTTTTGATCCATTTAAGAGTTTCGGTAATCGTATTACTAATTGTTGAATGTATTTAATCTTACAATAATTATAATATACACACTGTGACTCTACATCCCTCACAATAAGCTAACTTAAATGACTATATATAGATTAATCGACAATTTATAATAGATACTAGATGTCTAGATAGATAGATAGATAATAGATTTTATATATATATAAATATTGTAATATTATTATACATTATACATTTTCGATAAATACAATAAAATTCAAATGTAGAACATAATARACGCGTGACCGCGTGGATAAGTCAGATCACTCAGATCTCAGACATAGTGCGATCAAACTGAATAATGAATGACACGAATGCGACGGTTGTACGACTTGCGATATCGCTCCGTGAAATATGCATAATATTGAATAATGCGTGTTGTAGACACACTGCAGCAGGTGTTCGAAATGCAAACGTCACGGCAGTGGTTTTGCAATGATGTTTACCACGAAAACGAACTATTTACTACTCGAGTGATTGTGTTTGTAGTTTTGTACGACGTGTATATATAATATTGTCGAGTTCGCGTGAACGGTTTTTCGAATGTATAGGCATAAAATACTATACGGCGACATCGTCGATCGACAAATTTCCGTCGTCAGTAACATATTTCCCATGGTAATATTATGCCTTATTTAGTTACGGTATGACATCCGAAATGAGAGGGCTTATATGTGAGTGTGCAGAGGTAGCGAATCTTTTATTTTTCGTTTCTAGTAAATACTATAGTATTGTGTACTATCTATGTTTTACAGACATAATATCTTGTGATTTATTAGAAAACGCATACCATAAAATGTTTAGTATTCAATTCAGCTACCAGCTACCTATGGTTATAATCACCCACTCCGTGTTATTCGTATTAAAGTCTAGTGGCTAATCAACAAAAAATCGAGAGCATTATAT